GTGTAGAGAATAAAGAGGAGCTGGCCTAGAACAGAACCTTGAGAAACACCACTGAGAACAGCATCTCATACAGAGCTGGTATTGTTTATGGTAACACGATGCTTTCTGTCGACTAAAAAGAATTTAAGCTAATGTAGAAATTTTCCGAAAGATTTTAGTTTTACCATAAGTCTGTTGTGAGGTACAGAATCAAAATCTGCTTTGGCAAAATCAAGATAGGTTACATCAATAAACTGGTAAGATTCTATGGTAGACTTAATGAAATGAATAATATCAAAAGTCTTTATTAGATTAGTTACGCATGATTTATGATAAAGAAAGCCATGTTAAATTGTAGAGATCAAGTTATTATTGTTAATGTGCTTTAAAATTTTGTTCTTAACGAGTTTTTCAAAAAATTTGCAAGCTGTAGAGGTTAGTGAGATAGGTCGATAATTTTCAGCAAACAATTTATCTCCCTTTTTTTTTATAGACAGGAATATAATAATTTTTTCTAATTTTCAGAGAGTGGGTACTATTCCTGAATGAAAGTTCCATAATAATATCTGAGATAAAAAATATCTGAGATAAAAAAACCCAAGTTGTTAGTATAAATGCTTTCAGATTTAACATCACTTTTATATAACGGTACAAAATGTTCAGAGTTTTTAAGTGCAATGATAGATTTAAATTGAGAGTTCAAGAAGATCAACTACATGAGGAAGAGGTTCAATAATTTTGCCTGAAGTATCTTTGAGGAACAAACTCTATAATTTTTAATTGTTTGTTGATATATTTGTAGACAAGTTTTGAATTTTGATATCATTTTTTTTTTCATGTGCTCTTTTTGCTTCAGATATTTACTGAATGATTAAGATGATTATAATTTAAGCTCATCATTCTTCCATTTGGTAAAGCAGTTGATATGCCAAGCGGATATTTTTGCTCGTATTAGATTTTTAATATGTAAAATAACCCAAGGATCATAATTTTTTTTTGTTTTATTACTCTTTGGAAAAAAATATTTGCAAACGATGCAATTATTAGAAATTAGTAAATTGAAAATATGCTCCGCAGTTTCATGAAAAAATAAAAATCCCAGTCGATGAATGAAATAAACTTCGACATTTCAGGCAATCACCTTTGTAACTAAACAACCAAGATTCACTCATGAAAAACGGTTCTGAAACTAAGAATCTCTAAGTGATACTAAAACGACCCTTAGTGTTAAAACGTGTCACACTTTGTTAAAAGGTGTAACACGTTTATTTAAAGTGTAACCCAACGTTAACAGTGAGCCGTTTATTACAGGAGTAACCCCAAATTAGCACCGACCCGTTTATTAGTGTGACCTAAAATTAACAGTGAATTAATAATTAAAGGTATGACCCATAATTAGCAATGACTCGTTTGAAATTATTCTAGCCAAAACCATAGGCGTAGAGTATGGGGTGTAACGGGGGCAGGCTGCGCCTTGGGTAAATCTTGCCCCCTTGAAAATTCGTTTGCCCCCCTTGAAAATTTATCTAATCATAATAGTTATTATTTTGATTTTTTATTTTAAAAACAGAGGAAGAAATTAAAAGACGAAATCAAGTTTTTTCTGTAAAAAGCGAAGAAATAAATAATCCATTGCTAAAAACATCCAAAAAAAAATGTTTTTAAGATAAAAACTCTGAAAACTTGACGAACAAACGAATCTTTTTTTCAGATAAAAAATACGCTTTTGTGATAAAATAAAACGTCATATTCAATCTTTTAAATCTCGATTTAGGAAAAGTAATTTTTTCAGCAACGTTTTTGTTTTTGTGTTGATTATATACTCATGAAATTAAATTTTAAGATTCAAATAAGAAGAAAGTATCAATTAAAAAATCTTTACAGAAAGCCAGTTAGACAAGGTACCTTGGATTTGACTTAACGGTGATAAAACTTATGCAAATTTCAAGGTAACGGCGAGTTCGGCAAGTTATGACGACTTCAAACAAGTCCACCGCTGACGTTTCGAAATTTGGTCTTTCTTTTCAGAACTTTAAAAGAAAATTTAACTAAGTTTTCAAAAGTTTCATTTTTATACAGAGTGCTATAAAAGTTAACTGATAACATCTGTTAAAAAAATGCGTTTTTTTTTTAAATAGCTGTTGTAAGTAACTTTTACTGAGTAAATTTTTAATTTGCTGATTTTTACTTTTACTTGTGTAAACATTTTGAGTGATGCTTGTATATTTGTTCTTATTTTTATTTTTAATTATAATAGTCGCATTTTGAAAATTAATTGCTGTCATTATTTTTTATTTACTTTATTATTTGTTTAAATTACATATTATTGTCAACTACTCTTAAAAAATGATTAATTAATTTCCATTTAAGAAATAATTAAATAAAGTTAAAAAACTAAAAAAAAAATTGTTTTTCGAAAAACTTACAGCATGGATAAGTTTATCATTAGAACTAAGAAGAATGATTCTCATAATGCCAATGTCCCCATTTCATCTGTCGTACAAGTATCATCGTTTTCCGATGATAAGTTAAAATTGCAAACATACAGTAAAGATCTCGTTGATGATAATGATGGGGATTAACAAAAAAGGTACAAGCTATCCTCATTATAAAATTATAAAAGATTTTTAATAACAACCTAAAATAAGAGATTTTTCTTTCCAGAATTCCCTATTCATCGTCATACAAATCTTATTCAAAAGAAGGTTCAAATGGAAAAAAGGCGGAAAAAACATTCGTCGATATCTGTCCAGCTAGAAAGACGAGTACAAGTAGATTAAGTATAAAACTGTTAAGAAAAAGTCCTCGTGTTTTAAAGCTACTGAAATTAAGCTTCCGCTGTCTACTGAATCAAGAGAAAGAAAATCCGTTTTAGGATTTGTTATTAATGGACTTAATTACTGGAAGAAAGCTTATGAAAAGTTTTACCGTTATAAAGCTAGCCATTTTCAGCGAGCCGCTAACGAGATAACTTTGACAAGCACGTCAGATTCTACAGTTTCCAGTAAACTTTTTACTCAATATCTTTAAGATATAAAAGACGCAAGAAAAGCTCTCTCCCATATATTTTCTAGTCTGATTTTTCTCAGTTGTCAAGGCTTGGCCATCAGAAGCAAGACAAAGGAGTCTTCAAATCTATTCCAGCTCTTAGAACTGAGGTCTATGGATGTACCGATTTTAAAAAAATGGATAATTCGACCAGAGAAGTACAAGTGGATATCTCCAGATGTCACAAATAAAATTTTGTTAGATATTTCGTTAGTTATCCAACTTGAATTATCAAACACAATAAAAAAAAAAATTCTTTGGATTCATGATGGATGAATCATCAGATAACACAGGAAAAGACCAGGTTTTATTAGCTAAATCAACAACTCATTGAACTTGTATTTCCCTTTAATAAATTTTATAATTTTTTAAATTTGTATAGGTATCGATATTATTCCGTACTGTAGACGATGAGTTACAAATTAATGAGGATTTTTGTGAATTTTATGAGACAGCCACAACTAAAAGCAAGGATCTGTTTTTGATTATGAAAAACGTCCTTCTTCATTCCAACTTAAGGCTTGAGAACTGTCGGGGACAAGGCTACAACGGAGCTGCTGCCATGTCTTCTGAAATAGCTGGCTTGCAAAAACCTATTCTTCAACAAGAAAGCAGAGCCCTTTATGGTCATCGCAGAGCTCACAATCTAAACTTGGTCGTACAAGATGAAATAAAAAACATACCTGATATAGAAAATATCATGTCACTTGTTCAAAAATTCATCGTTTTTACCAGAGGCTCACCAAAGAGACTTGCTTGGTTTTTAAGCCTAAAAGACCAAAATGAAAGCGAAGATGGACACCAAAATGGAACATCATATAGCCTTTTTTGCCTAACCAAATGGATAATGCGCAAGCCATCTCTAGTATCTATTACCAGTAATTAGAGATCACTTCTGGTTCGGCTGAAGGTCCTTACCACAAACCCTGACTTTACTAAATGCCGAGTAGAGGCAATGGCCTTTTTGTCTTCTTTTTGAGGTTTTTGACACCTTTTTTATATTGGAGTTTCTTCGAATCATTTTTACCATCCTAGAAGATTCAAGCATTCAACTTCAGGGAAGCAATTATACTTTACCAGTTTAGATGTAGTTTTAGTTGGCCTCACCGATAAATTTGAATCAACTAAAACCACTCGTCATTAAACATGAGTTAAAGAATTTGTTATTGGATCAAATAACACTGAATACAGTATCGACTACATAAAAACCTTCTACAAGGACGATTTTCCTAATTATCAAAGACTGCATTTTCACCGGGATCTTTTCATTAACGAAGCTAAGAGAAAAAAAGTTCTGCGCTAAAGAACAAATTGGATTGAGAAACATTGCCTCGGAAATTGTCCGTTTTATTAAAATGATTCTGTTCCAGCTAGTGTCAACTTGTACAGCAGAGTGATCCTTTAGTAGCCTGCGTAGATTAAAAACTTTTCTTCGATCAACCATGAGCCAGGAACGGCTGAACGCTGTTTCTCTAATGGATACCCATAAAGAAATTACCTCGAGTCTCGAATTGGAATTTTTATTAGATGTTTATTGAAAAAAACGAAACACGCCGTAGAATGTTTTATTTGGAAACCAACAAATAAAATTTGGAAACAAAACAAGTAAAACTTCATACCTACTTGTTTTATTCTAATTTCTTGAAGTTAGGTAACCAAAATCAAAAATTGTTTTCTTTTATTTCTATATAAAAAATATTAAACACTTGAAAGTCTACATACATCGCTCAAAAAAAGTCGAACCTTTAACTTTTTGCCCCCCTTGAAAATTTGAGTACTCTACGCCCATGCTCAAAACAGAGTTATATTTAAAAAACATATCGAATGTTATTTGAATAACACAAACATTTAAGTTGCACATAAAAGAGTTCCGCTCAAAAATTTTAGTTTTCTGACTGTATTAAATACATTTCATGCACTTGATACAGTTAGCAAACTAAATTTATATTTACTGCACTGAATAAAAAAAATCATTATAAATATTTCATATTTTCTATTAAATAATTTCATTGTTCTGTCTATATGTCGAAAGATAAAAGAACAAAAGATGAAGAACAAAAAAAATAAATAAAAATAAAACAAAACTAAGCTGGTGCCTCAATAAGTACATTTTTTCTATTTGCCTCATCCAGTTTTATTAAAGAATTACTTGATTCAGCAAGTTCGGCTATTGATATACGACCACGTTGTTTTATGAACTTTGCAAAATTTTTAAGTTCCTCCTCCGAAATATAGACAAATTTTCCACGGTCATCCATAACACCTATAATTTATATATATATATATATATATATATATATATATATATATATATATATATATATATATATATATATATATATATATATATATATATATATATATATATATATATATATATACATATATATATATATACACAAACACACACACACACATATGTGTGTACACACACACAGATATATATATATATATATATATATATATATATATATATATATATATATATATATATATATATATATATATATATATATATATATATATATATACATATAAATATAAATATATATATATATATAATATATATATATATATATATATATATATATATATATATATATATATATATATATATATATATATATATATATACAGTATTGGACAAAACATTTGCAACCAACATCGAACAATGCTAAAAAGTGTTCCTAATTTTACATGTCTTAACGAAACGAACTATACTACCGCAACAAACAGTTACTACTACAGCAAACAGTTCAGGAGTCTGGAGTCATAGCATGCCATGACATGAGCAATCAGCTGACAGGTGACAGCACACAGGCAGAATTTCGTTGACAAGTGCCATTTTGCAGCGGACAAAACAAGTGCAACTTTTTTGGTTTGTTTCATTTTCTTAAATCTGGTCCGTGTCAACGTCACGGAAGTTTTTTAATAATTAAAGGAAGTATCCAGAAGTTTCCAGAAGCATGCAGAAGCTTCCAGAAGTTTCCAGAAAAAGCATCTGGAAGCATCCAGAAGCATCCAGAAGTATCCAGAAACATTCAGAAGCTTCCTGAAGCATCGAAAAAAAGCATCTAGAATCTTTTAGAACAGGTTCACACAGGTTCATTTTACTATATTAGAGACATGTAAACCGACATGTAATTCAGTCAGTATATGGAAGTCAATCAGTCAGTATTATCAAGACAGTTTATCGAAGTGAGTTTTATCAAAGTGTTTTATCGAAGAACATCAATACAAGAAGTGAAATATAACAAGTGTTTCATTACATCAATACAGTCCACATCCAATCAAGACATTGTTTTCCACAGAGCATTATTGTATCATCACAAGGTAAATGTAACACGGTAAGCCTTGAGAAGCGTGATTATTTATTTTTATTTTTTTATGACTTCAAGTGCAAAAATGGCTCCCGACAGCCTTGGATTGGAACTAAGAAAGAAAATTATTGCCGATTACGTAAGTGAAATGTTACAAAAAAGTATTTGTGACAAATATAGCGTGAAAAAATGGACCGTATCAAAACTATGCTCCAAATATCGTTCTACGGGGAAGTTGGCAGCAAATAACAAAGGTGGAAGACCGCGTTCCACCACTTCTAGAGAGGATTCTATGATCGTCAGATCCGTCAAGAGGATTCTCTGGATATCATCAGTCGAGATACAAAAGCAATTAGAGCTGCCTGTATCTGACGCATGTTGTTGAAGCCGGATTGTTTTCTCGACGCCCTGCAAAGAAATCACTAATTTCACTAAAGAACCAGAAGAAAAGACTCTTGTTTGCTACATCTCATATTGACTAGAATGTGCAGAAATGGCGAACTGTCCTGTTCAGTGATGAACCGAAGTTCAACATTATTGGGAGCGATGGCATTTGCCGTGTACGTCGACCGGCTGGAAAACGCCTCGATTTACGTTACTGCCATAAGACCGTGAAGTATGGTGGAGGCAATGTAATGGTCTGGGGGTGTTTTTCTGCTAACGGTCTAGGTCCAATACATAGAATCGATGGAATAATGGACCGTTTCGTGAATAAAAATATCCTGAAAGATGTTATGTTACCTCATGCTGAATGGAATATGCAAATAAAATGGGTTTTTCAGCAAGACAACAATCTCAACCCTATCGAGAACCTGTGGGAGATCATCAACCGCAGAATTAGTCGTGAAGGTCTTCGTAATAAGGATCAACTATTTGAACAAATCCAAATGGCCTGGGTAGCGATTCCACAAAGTTTCATTGATCACCTGATCGAATCTATGCCTCGAAGATGCAAGGCTGTGATCGAAAACAAAGGATTCGTCACGAAATATTGATAGGAAATACAGCTTGGTAAACATTTTGTGGAGTTGTTTTGTCCAGAAGGAAATCAACTTTTTTAATACTTTTGATTAATTTATTAATTTTCATGTACAAATAATGAACTTTGTGATGAATAAAACTTTAAGAACATATATATATATATATATATATA